ATTGAATCAAGATTTTTGGCTTTTCCTTTATTACAAGAACCTAAATCTTTTAAATCTTTGAATTTATTAGATTTTTCTTTATACATTAAACTAGTTTCTTATCATCCTTCTATCACAAATACTACACATCAGGTGGCAAATGATTTAATTTTAACAAAATTATTATCACCTTTCAAAATTGATATTTATCTTGTCAGAATATGTGATCTTGAAACTGCAAAAAAAAAAAATTTAAAGATAGGAGATGTCTTAAAAGATCCTAATGATATAAAAAGACATCAATTGAAAGATGAGTTTGATATATTGATGAATTACAGTGTGGAGATTTCATGTTCAACAGATTGTATTTTCAATGATTATGTAATAATAATGTGTAGACCTTTTTTAAAAGAAAAACAGAAAACTTGTGAAATATTAAATAATGATAATGAAAGTATAATATATAATACTGAAAATTATAGAGTAATAATGGTAATAGATTATATGGATTGGATGTATCAAGGTCGTATCAAAGATGGAGGAGATATTGCAGATAACGATAAAATTGAGTTGGGGGATACGTTTGAAAGATATAATTCTGGTTATCCAGTTATGATTTCGGGTGGAAGTATTGAAGTAGCATATCATCCAGATATGACAAATATTAACAGTATTACAACATTTTCTAAAATGGTTGTAGATCAAATTATGGATAAAATACCAAAACCTGTTATTAAGGATAATGAAGATGAAGAACTTTAATTTTTTTTAATAGAATTTTTTATTTTATTTTTTTATTTAATTTTATAATAAATATAAATACAAATATTTTTCTCTTTTTTACAAATAAAAAAAAACAAAATGATTAAATTACAAAATTGCAAATATGTTTATAATTTTAAAGATTATATTAATTGTTGTGCTAAAAAATATGAAAAACAAAATATTATAAAAATTAAAGAAGAAGAAATAAACGAATTTTTAATGCTTACAATAATTGAAAAAGCATCAACTGTTCTAATTTCAATTCCACAAAAACCAATTTTAATTCCTCAACCACCTTCGGTTCCAATCTTAATTCCACAAAACCCGAAACCAATTTTAATTCCTCAACCGCCTTCTGTTCCAATTGTAATTCCACAGAAACCAATTTTAATTTCTCAACCATCTGTTCCAATTTTAATTCCACCAGAAGAATCTAATGATATAAATGATAAAAATATATTTAATAGTATAAAAGAAGAAATAACAAATTCAATTAAAA